CCCCAAAACCCCAAAACCCCAAAACCCCAAAACCCCAAAACCCCTAAAATCTGGAGGAACACTGAAATATAATAATACTTTACAAATACGATATGGAAGTTCAACCCAGAACATTATTCAAGGAGAAAGAGGTCAACTTCGAAGACCTTGAAAATGTCTTCAGCACCGGTCCAATATATTCCCCTGAGTTCAAAGATGAATTGACGAACAGGGAGTCCAGCCAGAAGCACCCTGATCTAGGGCAATTTGATAAAAATTAATGTCGAACAAGAACTAAAAGAGATGAATGAGATCTACCATTGCCTGGCAAAGAAAGATTCCCAGAATGATGATATCCCGGAAGACCTCAGAAAAGCAGTTTATGCAAAATACGGCAAAGAGCCTGATAGTGATGATGATGAAGACATAGAACAATTCCAGAAGGATTATAAAGTTCATAGCAATGAGCAATTCGTCTTAGTGTCCAAGAATGGAAAGAAAGGCTCTGGACCAAAGGATCCTAATGAAGATTACGAGGGGCAGAACATCCACCTCAATATTCATGAAGACCACTTTATTGACCCTTGTGGTAAAAATGAAGAGAAGAAGGAAGAAAATGGAGCCGCAGGCACACAACCTGAAGAAGAAGACAAAGGGGATGAGGTCGAGAATGACTGATTCAACAAAGTCTTAGGCCAACCATCTTTTAAAAGAGAGAAACGTCTCTGAGACATCGTTGAAGAGGTTACCCTAAAGGACTTCGAAACCATCAGATTCCTCGGAAATGGAGCTTATGGAAAGGTAAACTTAGTAAAATGAAAAATAAATGATAAGCAGTATGCCATGAAAATACTAGACAAAGAGAAGATTTCGAAGAGGGATAAAGTAGAGAATGTGTTCAGAGAGAAGGACATCATGTTCGAACTTGATCATCCAAATATATGCAAACTAGAATGAGCTTTTCAAAATGAATCATCTCTGTTCTTTGTTCTCGAATACGCACCCAATGGTGATCTCTCTGGTCTCATCAAGAAGGAAAAGCTAAAAGTTGAATTAATTAGAATCTTTGCTAGTGAGATTATAAATTCTTTGGAGGAATTAAGAACAATAAAGGTGGTTCATAGAGACCTCAAACCTGAAAATATTTTACTTGATCGTAATTGCCACATCAAAATCACCGACTTTGGAGATTCGAAAAAGATTGATATTGATAAGGTCCATATAAGGCTTCAGAGAGAAAGCTTTAAACCAGATGTTCCATACAATGAAAATTATAGTGTGGATCCAGAATTTGAAGAGAATTTTAATATAGAACCAATGAATTATGAAGAACCTGAAAATGAGAAAGAGAAGAACAGAGAAAGAGATAATTCCTTTGTAGGAACACCATTATATGTATCGCCAGAGATGCTAAATCATAACCTTGCTGCATATTCTACAGACTTATGGGCATTTGGATGAATTTTATACCAATGAGCTTGCGGAGCTCCACCCTTCAATGGGTTCACAGAACAACAAATTTACGATAAGATTGTCAACAAGAAAATATTCTATCCAGACTTCTTAGACCCAGTCTTGAAGGATTTAATTGACAACTTAATTCAAGTAGATCCAAAAGACAGGTTAGGCTCTGCTATTACTAAAGATAATGGAATCGATAAACTCAAAGGCCACCCTTTCTTTGAAGGAATTGACTTTGAGACTGTACACAAAACCACAATAGAGATATCAGAAAAATACAGAAAATCTCTGGAAGCAGAGAGTAAAGCTGGTGACCATCCATTTAAGAGCTTAAATACAGTATCAGGTGACTTTTTCAATGATTCAGATGTCATTCCTAAAGCTCAAGAAGGAGGACTTAAGCTTCAGAAGAATTACACAGAGAATGACAGTAAAGCGAATCAGCCAAAAATGCCTGCTCTTAAGACAGCTGAATCAGCAAAGCTTCCTATGATTACTAAGTCTGATATCCTTCTTAACTGTAAAGGGGACGTATACAAACAATCGATCGTTGAAAAATAAGAACAAATGGACATTCTACCAAGATAGGCTCCTCAAATTAACCAAAGATTTCAGATTAATGTACTTTAAAAAGGAAGTCTACCGAGGAGATATCACTCTGTCAAAACAAGTTTCTGTACGAAAAGTCAAGATCCATGAATTCGAGATAATAACACCACATAAGTTGTTCCATTTCCGATGCAAGCAAGGTGATAGCGCAAGCGAGTGGGTCAACCTCATTAAAGCAGTCATTAAGGAGAAGAAGAGAAGAGATAAAGAAGCAGGTAGAAAATAAATCTATCTAGATTGGATGTCTGTATATTTTAAATTAACCCAATTAATCAGATCTCATGGGGTTTTGGGGTTTTGGGGTTTTGGGGTTTTGGGG